TTGCTGTGCTCTTGAGGATCCTTGTGATATTTTAAGCTCTAGTTGAATGATAGGTGTCGCATTTTAAATCATTTTCGTAGTTAGAAATTATGAAACGCCCTGTTAAAAAAAAGGAAGTTTTTATGCCCGTTGAAGTAAAACAAAATGCCCGACGTGATACTGCGACACTCCCACCGGGGTATGCCGCGAAATACCTCACCCATTTTGAATGGCTGCATCTGTATATTGGAGAAATCACTTACAAGTTGGGAGTTATGAATATTTATTTTACTTGTTGACTAAACCGATCGGTCATATCCTGATTTTCACCATTTTCATATAACCCCCATTTGTAACAAATATGAATATCTTGGGGAACACATTTGGTGTGGCACTCTACCTGGAAGTCACCTGTCAATCAGGCAAGTATGAGCAACCAATGAGCACCCTGATTTGCGGGGAACAACACCACACTTGATTATGTCACAACCAAGCGCTATCTGTGATTATTATAATTAAAATCTAATGCATAGCAATAGAAACACACTGTAACTATGAACCAAAACCTGGCAACCTTACAAGCTAAAGAACCAGGCTTAGAGAGTGACTCTTTAAGCCAACAGTATTCTGCCCAAGAGTTTCTCTGCAACACTAAAAGTTTTGTCACTAATTACTGTAATTGTAATTTGACCTGATCAACTAAATTAATACAGTTGGACTGTTGATGATAAGTCTGAATACCAATGTTAATTTAGAGTAGCAGCTGCAACAAAAGGATCAAACTGTTTTTCTCCCCACATACAGTATTTTGCACTTGCAGTCTATTTTTTGCACACATTCTAGGAAAGCCAACGTCAACCTGACTCTATTTAATTCTTTTAGTGTGAGGCTAAGTGAAACTACCTCTTTTCTGGCACGGAGGGGAAAACTATTGGCATGCAACTCTAGAACTCTAGAACAGCTTGGCTAGTATTTAGCTTTTGATCAGTATAAATTAAGTGTACACAGAATAAACCTTGAGAACTATACTTGCCTTTGAGTGTATCAATATAAAGGCATAAACCCAAATAATTTTTGCAATTGACACCCGAAGAAGGTTCCACAGCCTAAACGTTGTTTTCTTTCTTTTCAGCATGGAATAAACATTTACTTGTTCCTTTGCAGCCTACGCATGCTGACACAGCTGCCTACTTGATTTAAATTGATGTTTTGCACATTTATTGATGTATGAAGTCAACTGTATGTTGTAAACTTTGATTTTATCTGCATAAATTGCTTTTTCATTTTGTCAGATTGATTCCTAGTAGCCCTTAAAGTACTCTTCCCCCATTTAATGTTCCACTGACTAATTGTTCCAGTAATTCAAATCAACCCTACAGTGGTAATAGTATCAGGTATTGCAATGTCATACAATACCTGATATTTCCTTTGTAACATTCATTTGGACAGTTGTAATACTGAATAATTATTTGATGTGTATTTGTATTAATGATTTCTAGTGATTGTATTTGATAATTGTTTAAATAATTTGATTAAATACATAATACTTGTGTGCTGCATTTATGTATCAGTATATTATCATACATTACCCACCGGGATCATTAAAGGGCACCAGAATATAAGCAGAGGGTTCACTGGGGGTTCCACGTTTTGTGTCTATAATGGAGATGAATCTTCTCTTTGCTTCTTCTATGCTATCAGACATACTGCTTGTGGTGTCAATGACAAAACAGAGCACAAAAGGACGATAAATTCCCATCAACCTGAAAGACAGAGGAAGAGGCATGTGTGAGAAACATTAGAAATGAAAAGTGAAATTAGGGGTTTAGAAAGTGAAATACAGAACTGCACTTCGATGGCCTATATGACATAGCATTGTTCAATTACAGTAGATGTACTGTCACCCTGAATGATTGGCACCATGACACATTAAAAAGAAGAATGTTCAGAGCTGTTCATACCATAGAAACTCATCATCTCCAGCTGCATTGCGGATGTCCTGCAGCAGTTCCATAGTAGCTGTGGTGGCTATCTGTGCTGCGATTTCATGCAGAGTGCCATGATCTGAACTGTAAGTATCCTTATTGATACCTCCACGGGGGATATCATCGCTAGTAAAGTCAGACAAACCGCCATGGCTACACTTCCCTAGAGTTGGAGAGATAGAGTATAAAAGTGAGAAAGAGAGGGAAAGACAGACAGAAGAACAAACAGGGAGAGAGAATAAACTATATATTAACATATACAGTGGTGCTAGAAAGTTTGTGAACCCTTTAGAATTAACTGAATTTCTGCATAAATTTGACCTAAAACGTGATCAGACCTTCATCTAATTCATAAAAATAGATAGAGAACCAACCCAATAAAACAAATAACACACAAAAGATTATAATTTGTCATTCAAAATGATCTAACATTAAATGTCTATGTTGGAAAAAGTATGTGAACCTATGCTTTCAGTAACTGGTGTGACCCCCTTAAGCAGGAAAGACTTCAACCAAATGTTGACAGTAACTGTTGATCTGTTTTGGCTTGGAGAAATGTTGGCCTATTCCTCCTTACAAAACTGCTTCAACTCAGTGATGTTAGTGGGCTTTCTTGCATGAAGTCTGCACTTCAGGTCCTGCCACAGCATTTCTATTAGATTATGCTCTGGACTTTGACTTGGTCATTTCAAAAGGCTAAATTTCTTCTGCTTCAACTATTATTTGATAGACTGACATGTGTGTTTAGGATCTATGTCTTGCTGCAAGACCCACCTACTGATGAGCCTGACATTCTCCTGTAGAATTTGCTGGTTCAATCCAGAATTCATAGTTCTGATAATGATGGCAAGCCTTCCTGGTCTCGTGGCAGAAAACAGCCCCAAACCATGATACTGCCACCACCGTGTTTCACGGCTGGGATGAGGTTCTTATGTTGGAAAGCAGTGTTTGGTTTTCGCTAAACATAACGTTTCTGATTTATATTTTCAACTCATCCATCCACAGAACATTCTTCCAGTCGCCTTCTGGCTCATCCAGGTGGTGTTTAGCAAACTTTAAACAACCAACAATGTTCTTCTTGCAGAGTAGTGGCTTCCTCCTTGCTATTCTCCCATGCACACTATTCTTGTTCAGTGCTTGCCTGATGGTGGACTGATGGTGGACTCATGAACACTGACATTAGCCAGTACAAGAGAGTACAGTACAGCCTGCAGATCCTTAGACATTACCCTGGGGTTCTATGTGATGTCCGGGAATATTATATGCCTTGCTCTTGGAGTGATTTTTGTTGGATGACCACTCCTGGAGAGACTAATATAAGTGTTAAATTTTCTCCATTTGTATACTATCTGCCTGACAGAGGATTGGTGAAGTCTTTAGAAATCTTTTTGTAACCTTTTCTTGTAACCTGATGACCATCGACAACTCTTTTTCTGAGGTTGTCAGAAATCTCCTTTGATCGAGGCATGGCATGACTCAAGTTTCTCTTCTAAATAGGGCAGGGCCACCGAAACTCACTCATCCCATTGACTGACACTCCGGACTCTAATTATCCCCTTAACTGTACTGACAATCCTAGAGGTTCACATACTTTTTTCGACAAAGACATTCAATGTCTTTTCATTCTTATCAATAAATGAATGATAAAGTATATCCTTTTGTGTGTTATTTGTTTTATTGGGTTCTCTATTTTTATGACTTAGGTGAAGATCTGATCACATTTCTAAAGGGTTCAAAAATTTTCTAGCACCACTGTATAAGTATAGTTAAAGTTTGTGGTAAGAGAGTAGATAATGTTGTTTATTGAAGTTTGAAAAGAATATATTGTTACTAACAACAGTGATATAATGTCCAGGGCCTTAAATTGCTGTCTGTAATTGTCCATGTAGATATTATTATATAGTCGTAGTGATGATCACATTTTGAACGATTGTATTAAGAGGCCAGAGACATTCTACTGAACTGTCTTTTACCTTTCACCTATAAACTACATCTTTCCATGACTCTTATACTGTTTTGTACTAAATGTAATCAATTTTCATGTTTGTAAATTAATTTTCTCATTGCAATGTTTCACTGGACATGGTAACATTCCTAGCAATCTGTCACATGCTGTTTGTGTTCAGTCTCAGTGTAGATATACCAATCATTAACTTTATAAACACAACCCAGTTTTCTCCCACAGCCCAAAGACATACTGTATTAGTAAGTTAAATGGCTTCTGGAAATCATTGCCCCATGTGTGTGTCTGTGCTTGTCTGTGTGTGTCCCTTGATGGACAGGTGTCCCCTCCAAGGTGTATCTTGACTTGTGCTCATTGATTGCCAGAAAAGGCTCTGGCTCCCCTGCAACCCTAAATTGGATGTAATGTTTTGACAAAGAGTAGATGGATGTTTATGGACAAGAAATAAGTAAAATTAGTGGTTGACACGGTAATTTGTTAGGACTGAATGCCAATAAATATCTGTCCTTATCAAGATGAAGGAAATACTTGAGGAATATTAAGACTGAAAGCCTAACAGAAACAAAATGTCCTCATAAGCACTAGAATTAACAAATAATATTAAATATATAGTTGTAGTTTAATTAGTTTAATTTAGTTTATTATAACAGGTGTAACTGGTTTACAATACCTTTTGGCTTTGATGCCCAAGGATTGAGATCATAATACCCCGACGTGAGCTTCTTTCTTTGTAATATACTCTCGAGGATGTTGGTTGGACATGTCCCCTTAGCACAGTCACTGCATGTTGGCTCACCTTTAGCTGAAGGAAAATATGACAAGTTTTGTAAGTAGTGTTGATGGGTGGAACAGCCAGATGACAGTCACAGAAACTCAGAGATAACGACACAGTCCTGACATGTAAATCTATTATACATTAAGTAGAGAAAGAATATTAATGCACAAATATATGTTACGGTTGACATCCCTCCCCTAGGGAGCACTCCATTTCACTCCTGTCAATAGTTCTCTGTGATCATTCATATGTGTTCCAGGTGTGCCTTGTTGTGTCTCCCCCTATTTATTCTTAGCTCCTCCAGGGCTCAGGGGTCAACATTTGGGCACAGATGTCACCAGGCCCGCCTAGCACCAGGATACCCTACAGATGCAGTCATTCAAAGTGATAAGCGCGGTACAAACCTGTACCATGAGCAAATCATTACGTCATAGCGCATCATAACGCATCATACCGCGGTACGTGATTGGCTGGCCAAAATGACCGACAAGGGGAACTCGTGGTGCATTGGTCGGTCGTGGAAAGATTTAATCATAAAATGTCTTTACTCTGCACGTTTTAAATCGCTTAGTATTGAATATTTATATGGAATTTTACCACTAAAGAGAATTTTTAGTAGCTGAGCATAAAAAGAATAGGAGCATAATGCATCTGAAGGTCATAAACGATGTTAATTTAGGAACATAAACATATTATGTAAACTGTATATTGCTGGTCTTGGTATTTTAAAGAAAAAATACACACCAGTATTCCATTTCTCCCGAAACATTTTAAGCATCAAAGTCTTACATGTGGTTATTTTGGAAACGTTTTTATGTGCTCCTTGCTCCTTCTGACCATGTTACTGTACTGTTTATACAGCATACAGTACTTTGAGAAAAGTTATAGTTTTAAGCTTTTCTGCAAATATGCTCGATATCAGAGTAGTAGAAGTTGATTAATAGGGAATATAATATGGAATCGCATATCTAAAGAAATTAATAACAATATAATTATATTCATGTACTGTAACACACACAGTAGTATATACACATATCTATTGATATGTGTACAGCTGTTTCACTCTTGCTCACGGGATTGTGTTAGTGGCATAATGGTTTAAGTTCCTGACTTATAAGCAAAAGGTTGGCTGTTCAAATCCAGCTATTGCCTTAAGTTTTATTTTAACAAACATTTATTTGAAAAACTAAAATAGCAATATTATGGACAATTTATTGACTTTTTTATATTTCTAAATATGTTCGAATCAAAGTCATTTTTTAATAACAAAACGAATAGTCACCGTCTTTCCCTCTGAATCGCTCCAGTATCAGGAACCTCTATCATGTGGATCCCTTTAGATCTCCCTTCAGATTTAAAAGGTTATTAATAATATCTTCAGTGTCACATCTTCCCAGTTTAGCTGATCTTTTGCTGCATACACATGCTTCCACAGCTCCCTAGGTAAATTATCATACTTGACTGAGAAAGCTTTAGAGAACTTAACATTTTTATTATCAACAAATTGT